TTTGTTTTAATAAGAAGAGTGTTGGAGATCTGTCTATCCAAACAAGGATGATGAATAGTGCATGTGGCAAAAATCAAGACAAAATCAGGAACTTTGTTGAGACCAGTAAACAAACTGTGCATGTTAGAAAGTATATAAAAAGTAAACTGCATTTCTAGCCATCTGCTATGACTATTTACAATCACAAACCTTACCTTGATACTTTTGAAATAATGCTCACTGTTACAAACAGTGGTTCTGTCTGTCTACAGAGCTTCAAAGAGTATTCCTAGGATTAATAAAAATACATCTGTCTACATTCAAAGAAAAATTGAACTGGGAAGGCCAGTGTGATATATATGACAAAGGTAACTTGTGCGAGGGACATTTTTACTAAACATGAAACAAGCAAGGTCCTAAAATATTATTTGCTTGATAGGTTAGTGATGGTTTAGAAATGTAGCACTTTGGTGGAAGTAAACCAATAGCCTTGGGATTCTTTTTTAAGCACTCAAAAATGCTGTCAGTGTAAAACTAACATAAGTTCTGGGCAATTGAAGAAAACTACTGTGAACTCTTAAAGAGTCTTGCATAATTTCAAAGGAATCTGATCAAAGTAGTAAGGTTCTTCTTAAGTAGATTGTCAGTAGACCAATTTCAATATATTAAAATTCAGCCTAAAACAAAAGACCTCATTACGAGGCTCCGGGAAATAACTACAGAGTTTGTGGGGGTTTTCCCGAGAGCCTCGTGCTGAGTTCTATTGTGTTAGACCGAATTTTAATATATCAAAATTGGTCTGTTGCCATCATTACTAACATTATTTTGCAGTTGCAAATCCTTATGACTTCTTGTTGAAATAAAATGATTATTGTTGGGTTTCCTGTTATCTAGTTACAATTCTTAAGGTTTGATAAAAGTTAAAAGAGACAACATTGTTCTGCTAAAAATGATTGCCTTTTGTAGGCTATACCACCACCTCCAGCTTCTTCTCCAAAGCAAAAAAGATATGAGCTGTTGTTGGACAAACCAGGGACATATCCAACAATGCCAAGAAAAGAAGAAAACCACGTGTCTCACACAACCTCAACACCAGGTACAATTGCTATCTAATGTAGTTAAACCTCCCCTAATAGACACTTGCTATATAGGGAACACTTCCTCTAAACAGACACTGAGTCTGTTGCTGCAGCCATGCTACAGTTTTAACCTCCCACAAGTGGACAATTCATCCAAGTGGACACCTGTCCCAAGTGGTCTCTAAGTTCTTGAGACCCAAGAATGTCAGATTATGGAAAGTTCTACTATGAGGCACCTCAAATAAGGAGATGCACCTAAAATCTGGTGTAGAAGGGATGCACTTAAATTAAACATGGCTGTCGTTAAGGGGTGTAACCTGTAACTCCTGTAACAGTTTAGGGATATGCTTGATAAGCCCTTGATGTTAAGAGTGAAATTGTCTTTTGTTCTTACAATTCACCCACAAAGTAACAAGTGTGTTATGGGTGTAAAAATCAAGCAACAGGTGACTCCAAACTTAATTTTTGACAGCCCTGCAAAAGGAGGGACCATTTCTAAGAGGACATGTCTGTGTGGCATACCACGAGGGAGCACTTGATGCAGTCCTGAAGTGTTAGTGATAAAATAAATAATACTGCCAAAGTAAAGAGATCTGCAATTGTATCCATTGTGCCACTCTTGTTGTTTATCAGGGGTTGTATACCTACAGTATGGTGATGAGATCAAGCGTGCAATGTTACCAGCAGGAATGGAAGGTCTTCAACAAGTACAGACATTGTTTAATCAAACGTTCTCCGACAAGATCAAGAACAATGACAACAGAAAGACCATCTACATAAAGGACAACTCTTGTGGAGTGTTCTATGAACTTGACAATGTCAGGTAATTTTGAAAACCTTTTTTTTAGTCTGCTAGCTTGTTTCAGCAAATACTGTAATGTTTCAAGAATGATGAATAGAATTTTGATATTGAGTTCCTTTATTAGTTCTTCACAACTTGTTATACAATCACTTCATAAAGTAAGTCTGCATATGACCAAGTGGCCCATCCTGCCAGCGCTTACCTCCAGTTTCTGTAGAATGAAGCAACTTGGAGTATTTCTTCTCCTTCCTGGATGGGATGCTAGTCCATCGCAGGGTTACCCCCAGCATTAAATTTGCCGTTACCCATTTATACACCTGGGTGGAGAGAGGCACTCTCAGAACACAATGTCCCCAGGCAGGGCTGGAACCTGGACAGCTTAATCCGGAGTTGAGCTCACTAACCATGAGGCCACCATGCCTCCCACAGTCAGTCCATGCTGATACTATATCCCTGGGTGGAAAGAGTCACAGAGACATTTAAGTGGCTTAAATTTTCCAAGAACACAGCAAAATGACCCTGGACCAACTGCTATTGATATAAATTGCAACATACTTACCGTAATGCAGCCACACACCTAACCGTGCCTATTTGTTTTTCCTTAGTGACTTGTCAAATAAGTCTCACCTGAAGATGCTTGAGTCCAGACCATTCCAGAATGGTCCTGTCCCTCATTCTGTCAGCAGCCCAACTGCTGTACACATAGGAGCTCAGGTAACAAGCACACCCCTACCTAACCACAGTCACTACGCACCAGCTGATGTCATCCACAGTGGCGGCAATGGCAATGTCAGATACACACGAACAACAACAGTGACAAGACAGGCAAGTGGAGGTCCCAGCATCACAACAGTTACAAGAGTGGTTGGTAACGAAGAAGGTGAAAATACGTTGCCGCACACTGGAGGAGGTTCTCTGATGAATCAAAAGAAAGTTCCATTACCTGGCCTTGGAACAACTCTGAAACCAAGAAGGTACTTGCCTGCTTATTGCTGCGAATAATATGTAATAAAAACCATGCACAAAAGCCTCCTGTGACTTGAGGTTTCTCTTTAGGGCTAGGTAGTAGATTTCAAAACTTTGTAGCTTTTCAGACCCTTCTTGAAGCATTTCTTTTAATACTTGTTAGGAGGGAATTTTTTTGATGCCTTGGCCTTTTAAGATCGTATGCCAAGAAACAAGTACTCCACTAGTCTCCATATATATCAGTGTTTCTGCCAGAGCGCACCATTGTGGGAATCCCGCGTTACAATCAGAGATGGCCCCCAGAAAAATGAAAAAAGGGCCAATTTGGCCCTTTCCTTTTACAAGACT